TACTGGAAACGGTCGTCGTTGTGGCATGGAAGTCGTCTTATTGCCGGTGTTCCCTCGAGGATTCTATCATTCCGCGAACACACTGATTTGAAATTCCCTCAACACCGGGGTAATGATTATTGAAATCCCTCGCCGCTGTTGAGGCTCTCTGATTCGCTCTGGTATTCTCCGCAACAGCTGTTTCATTCCCTGTCTCCTGAGAGTTTTTCACCATGTTGAAGATTTTTATCACAAAGTACATGACTATAAAAATCAAGACAAAAGTGGCAACACTGAGAAACTCGGAAGTCATGGCTGAAGTACGAGTTGCAGTGGCTGCGTTTTTCGGAAGCGTTGTGAGAAAATGAAGGGAAGACCAAAGGATGCCAGGTTATTGTACTTCTGTGACGTCACGCCATGGTTCAATGCGCAGATCTTCTAGCCTTCCTTCAAGTAAATGTGTACGCGTTGTGATGGGATACTGCTTTTTGTAGACGAAGATGGTCACGCTATGGCACGCCAATGCCCAACTACAACTCAAAATATGAATAAGTGACTTCTGGAATTTTTCGCGTCATTTCCTCGCTCTGTTACCTGTTACATGTGCTATAATCTTACAAAAAATTGCAACTCCTTCCAAACTGGCTCACTTTTCGCCTGAAAAACCCTACGGCAAATTGTTTAGAAAAAGGAATGTTATTTATAGGGATTGTAGTTCAATGACAGTGAGGCGGAACAAGTAATCAGAAGATCGCGATATATGCACAATGGACTTGATGGTTTCTTATCAATCAACCATCGCCAGCTGAGACAAAGGTTGCGACGGGGTAACTAGGTATATCTTAGGGTAGTTTGATCGGATTTTATCCCGCAAACTCACAATTAGAGATGAGATGACATAAAATCTAAGAATATTTGGCACGAAATATGACACAGCCAAGATATTTGAGGGCGAAAGGGAAGGAGTCAAGGTTCCTTTCCTTGTCAAGGAATTCAGGCGCGTTTAAAGCTACAAGGATTCACTCGGCAATTGTCAAAGGCAAACAAACCTCACTTCCCTGTGAGGGACAGAATTTAAGTAAGTTTGAACACAATGGCCGCGATGGGCCTATAATGGTTTATGCTGAAGAAGCCGTATACAACTACAATAAGTCTGGACACTATAAGGTTATTATGGCACTCAAACCGGTCGATAGTCTTCGCGATCAGTTGTTCTTGCAAAGGAATCTACAAAACACAACAAAGAGGTGCTAATAAGTAACAAATCTTCGCACGTCCCTGATAAACAAGCACCGAATTTTAAGGGAACACGAACAGATGGCAGATTTCTCGATAGCAAAG